CACTGTCATATGGCTTTTCATGTTGTTGAACAATACATATGATCTTATCATTGTCTAAATATATTTAAAAGAAATGATAATCAATCCACTTAGTTTCACCCCTAATTGGTATGTTTTTATTGAAAAGTTTGATAAAAATCTTTCATTAAGGTATGTACGAACATTTTTTAATTTTATTATGAAACTTAATCATCTAAATGAAATTAGTTTCTTATTGTTTTCATTGCCATAAAATAGCTATATTTTAAAACAAATGAGTTACTAAAAGTACTGAAGATTTCAAGAGAAAACATGCTAGTCAATACAAACCTATATAATTATATTATTGTATGTATGTTAGTGAGTCCTGCTACAAAAAAATCAACCTATTGAATATAACTAATTTCCTTTTCTATTTTTTTCTCAAAAAATCGAATAATCTTATTGGGAAAGTATTAATAAGAAAACAGTGCAAAAGAAGACGAAGTTGAAGATATAGTAAACGATATATTGATTGTAAATCATTTCCATCCATTGGATAACTTTCGCAATTGTTCGATCAATTTTTTTTTCTAATATTACAAACATTTAATATACTTATCAATTCAACTGTTATGGTTGTTTGATATGATATTCGACCATTGACTAGGATGAATTATTAGAAAATGAAGCATTTGATGAAATGGAGACAATATGTTGTTACTTAACTATGAAAAATCAAATGAACTTAGGATCCCAATTATGGATCAAATTGCAATTTCTATTTCTATGTATTGGCAATCAAAATTATCGATCATATTTATAATTTATAGAACACGGTCGTTCTGTCTTCTAAAAAGCTCGGATCACTAACTACTTAGGGCATACCAAAAGTTCGTAGAGTGATACCTTAATACCTTATGATAAGCTTTAAGTAACTTTCTTTCTATATAGTCTGATAGAGAAAAAAAAGTTCTATCTTTTTATGCTATCTGATCGTACTTCAACTAATATAATAATAATAAATTATCTATAAAACCTATTTCGGCTGGTTGTACTAGATCATATTTTATTTTTCAATATGTATAATCTTGAGGGTGTGGGTGCCCGTGGTTGTGAACCTTCTATGCATCCACGCCTACACCCACACCCTTGACCGCCACCAGTTCAGGTGTAGAAAGAAACCCTACAGGTTGCAAAACTGGTTGCAGACTACTGATAGAATTTTTTTAAAGCAAAGCTCAAAATCTTCTTCGGCTGGAATTCTTTCATATCATTACGCTGTTGTTGTAAGGCATGTTCTTGCACATTTCACTATATTTGAATCTTCATTGAAGTTCTGGCTATAAGATGATTATTGACTTTATTCAAAGAAGAAGCAAAAGCATATGTATGAAGTCTGACAAAATGCGAGGAGTCATATGATATTGTCAAAGTGTTCATATTCGTGTTATAGAATATACTTGATGACTTTTGTTGTTTTGGTAGAATTTATTTGCCTGCTGTATTCTTAATTGCTGTTATTGCGCATTGTGGGGAATTTGCAATGCCACCAGTAATACTACTGCTGTCAGAACTGAGCGTAAATTGAAAATTAATAATAATGTATGTAAATGACACCGTGTAACCAGTCGGATAAGGACCTGAATAGGATATTGAAGTTTGAAAAAAACATTTTCCACTGATGCTCGCTATGAAAGAGAGAGTAGTCGGAGACGGACGTGTCAACACTATTTGCCCGTTTGGACAACAGCAGGAGAATGTGTTGCAGCCTAAAATAGGTATGTATATACCTTCCCAAATTGGCATCGGGGTTGTTGTCACTAGGTAAAGAAAAAGTTTCAGCTTCTTCATTAAAAATATGATCATGTTCAATTGACAAAAAAGAATGTGATTGATGCATAAAAGAACGGACTATTCATGTGGTTTCATAGAACAGACTAGAGAAAAGATGCTCATTTGTGAATTATTCGAACATCTATGAATATTAGGTGAAGAATGAAAACATTGATCGATATCTTTCAGTATCACTAAGAAAAGACTCACTTTTTAGAGACTGTCTAAAATATTTTGATATTGATCAGAGCATGAGTCAGACATGGATATTGTAAGAAGATCAAATACTGAGTGGTCATTTGCAGAGCTTTGAATTTCCCTCTGTTATACGAACATGTATAGCTGTGACTTGGTAGTTGTATTTCAGACACGTATGCTATGGAAACTAGGCTATAAAAGACAAGCTCTGCTTGCACACACTACTAAAGTTTTCGAAATTCTTCAACAGATAAATTTCTGTCCGAGGATTGCGGAAATTTATTGTATCGATTATAGAAATCAGTTATGAAGCACAACTGTGGATAAATCTTAAAGTATACAACGAGAAACTTGGAATTTCTTCTCCTCTCCAAAGAGCATTGAAGATATTTCGAAACAGTGCTCTTTTCATTTCATCAGTGACTCCGATAAATATTGCAAGATTTGTCATTTACAATTGAAACACCTCCATCCTACTTTACTTTTTCTCAGAAATGATTAGTAAAGAGTGCTGAAGTATCAAGCAATAAAGTTGGACCAGTCCTGCCTTTCATCGCAGATTGTAATAGAATTGATACTATGTCTGGTATGATCTCTAACTTGAAAAGAATTATTAGATATGCTAGACTTTGGTCTCGTTAAGGATTATGATAGATATGACATAGCTTTTTGATCCAAGTTGAAGTGCCTCTACTTAGAGTTATCCAAAAGTAGTGGCGGAGGTTCTTTTTTTTCTTATAAATAGCTATAAAAAAATTTCTTTTCCAACGAATAGATAGAGTGTCTTTCGCTCTATCTTTCTATGCTATTTGATCAGTATCCAACTAAGAACATAGTAATAAAATCCCAACAAAAACTTTTTTTTTTCGAACTCTAGCTGGTAACAATACTGCATAAAATTATCTATTCGTGTTTTTTTTTCATTTTTTCTGGATTTTTTCTTGCTCTTTCTTTCATCATCGTCTTCTTATCTCTTATAATAACTAACCCTCCCCATATACATTAACACGTCAGTCGTATTGGTTTTTTGTGCACGTACCGTCTACTTGTTTATATTCAAAAAGGTCAGAAAAATAAAATCAAGTTTAACTTTGGCCCTATTTTCTTGTTCCAAATGACTACAGAAAACTTTCGTTTCTACACTAAAGTACGTACTGCACTTAATATTCAAGCAAGAATTATTCATGATGAATTGTATTCTGTTTATGGTGATCAAGCTTCCTCTCTCAGAACACTGGAAAGATGGTCCAAGCTGTTTCGTGAAGGTCGAGAAGAAATCGAAGATGAAGCACGACATGGTAGACCTATCACTGAAACAACATCTGAAAATATCAAACGGATTCGCCTTCTTATCGATGATGATTCTTATCTTACAATAGAAGAGTTACAAGAGTAAACTGATTTAAGCTATGGCACGATTCATCGAATCATCATCAGTCATTTAAACCTTAGCATAGGTCACCGCACGTTATATACTCAAAGATCTCACCGATTTTCAACGGGCTGAACGAGTTCGAATATGTGAAGAAAACTTATCAAAATTTCAACAAGGATCATGGCGATTATGTGATATAATAACTGGTGACGAATCGTGGTTTTATCATAAACAAATTGGTCGAAAGTTATCAAACGCAGAGCAGGTGATAAGAGAAGATCCTCCACCTACTGTAGTTCGACAAAGTAAGTATACTCCAAGAGCCTTATTAGTTATCTTTTTCAAGTCAAACGGTCCTCTGCTGATTCATCGTTTGGAACGAGGACAAACTATAGACCACCAGTATTATATCAACAATTGTTTACGTCCTCTCATCGATGAAATTGAACGTCAAAGACCTTCATATGTAACCTGTAACATTAAAATTCATTATGACAATGCAAAATCACATGTTCATAGAGATGTGTCTACTTATCTCGAATCGAAAGGTTTCACAATAATGCAACATCCACCTAATTCTCCCGACTTATCACCATGTAATTTTTGGTTATTCGACTTAATCAAAGAAAATCTGACCGATCAAAGTGATTCACAATCATTATATGATGCTGTGGTCAACTTCATGTATTCTTTGAGTAATGAAGAATATAAAAAACATTTGAAAAATGGATTGAAAGAATGCAGTTGTGTATAGATAATCAAGGTGATTATTTCGAACATTTGATAAAATAAACAATTGATAAACTTTTCCTTGTATTTTTTTGTTCTATCAATATTACTTCTTGTTCACTGTGAAATATATAGATGGTTAGTTATTATAAGAGATAAGAAGACGATGATGAAAGAAAGAACAAGAAAAAATCCAGTAAAAACGAAAAAAAAACACGTATAGATGATTTTATGCAGTATTGTTACCAGCTAGAGTTCGAAAAAAAACGTTTTTGTCGGGATTTTATTACTATGTTCTTAGTTGGATACTGATCAAATAGCATAGAAAGATAGAGCGAAAGACACTCTATCTATTCGTAAAAAAAGACATTTTTTATAGCAATTTATAAGAAAAAAAAAGAACCTCCGCCACTACTTTTGGATAACCCTAAGTACATTTACTTTAATTTTAACTTGCTTAGCTTAAAAGTTACTAAGTTACTGATGCACAAGTGACTGTAAAGTTTCATTTTTACTAGTCAATAAGTAACTTGAAAGTTGTCTACTCACTAGAAATTAAGTGACTTTAAGTCACTAAATTACTGGAAACTAACTAACTTGCATGATACTAAGTAACCATTAAACAGGTCACTTTTAGTTGACGAATCATTAATAAGTGAGTAGTTTTGCAATACTACGTTTCTCGTGACTTAGTAGGTTACAAGTGATCTTGTTATCAGTAACCAGAAAATTCAACGCAACTAAATTACTAGTAACTAGTACGTAAAAGTTGTTCATTACTAGTAATAACAAGTCAACTTTGGATCTACTTAGTTACGGTTAAATGGGTAACTCCAAAGTTACTAAGTTACTAGTAAAACAAATGAAAGTGCCAGCATCAGATACGAAAAAACTAGTAAACCGACTAGTGATCTGTTATTTTACCTGTTGTAGACGTAGAAGATGTTGTAGTCGAGTCGCCATTATTCACTGTGGTCGTAGTCAAGTCACCACTATTCACTGTGGCTGTAGTCGAGTCGCCACTATTCACTGTAGTCATAGTCGAGTCACCACTATGCACTGTGGCTGTAGTCGAGTCGCCACGTTCCGCTGTGGTCGTAGTCGAGTCGCTGCTTTCTACTGTGGTCGTAGTAGTAGTTAGCAAACTCATTAGGACAGCATCACTTGTAATTGTGGTTATGTCAGTAGTAGTGACCGCTGGGCTAATGAACATAATACTTGTCGTGCTGGTAATTATTTCAGGGATTGCAGCCATCGCTGTGCTTACTGTGGTGATTGTTGCAGATGTTTCACGACCACTTGCCGTGGTTATGATGTCAGCAGATGTAACAGTTGTTGTGCTGGCCATTGTTGTTGAGCTTGTTGTTTCTGTTGTGCCTGTAATCGTGGTTGTGCTTGGAATTTCTGCTGTGCTTGTCATTGTTGTTGTTGTACTCGTCATTTCTGTTGTGCTTGTCCTTGTTGTTGTACTTGTCATTGTCATTGCGCTTGTCATTGTTGTTGTGCTAGCCATTGTTGTTATGCTGGCCGTTACTGTTGTGCTGATCATTGTTGTTGTGCTTGGCATTGTTGTTGTACTTGTCATTGTTATTGCGTTTGTCATTG